CACAGTCGCTTACATGACTTGTACCATAGCTTAAGTCGCGTGCCAAGTCGCGGGCACGACCTCATGAGTCATATGCAAATTGCATTCATTTGTTTAATTATTCGATTATTTTGTTTTTAAATTAGTTTAGAATAATTATTTGTTAGTTTTACTTATTATTTTATAGTTTATAATTAGATTAGGATAATTATTATTGATTTACTTTTTATATCTTTCATATTTGGTTTGTCATTATACTTAGATTTGAGTTTAATTTCAATTGTTATCTCTTAGTTAGTTTAGTCTATAAATAGGTTAATATTTTATTTAATGTTAAGTTTATGATTGATTAATAAAAACTTTTTCTAGAGTTCTATATATCTCTTATGTTTATAGGACTTTTCTCTTATTTTCTAGGCTCTACAAATGTAGGCTCGTTATACTTTTGAATTTTTAGACGATTGTTGATCTTTCTGCGTTTTCCGTTGCGTCAGTATGCTATTGCACATTCTCATCCTCATATGAAAGTTGATGAATCACCAGAGTTCTATAAGTTAATTACCAAAGTTTTGTAAGTTGTGTTCATAAATGGTACATATTAGGGTTTACATCCACGGGACATCAAAAGAAGATCACACAATGAAGATGGCTCGTTTGTTGTTTTAGATTTTGATATTTGTTCTTCCATTTATACTTAATCACTACTAAAAAATGGGTTTTTTCAGTGGAAATCCCTCGGAAGACCGAATGTTTGGGGGATTTCCAATGGATTAGCCGACTGGAAAACCCCTATTGCTGTACACAATTTCCGACGGATATGGCCCCTAGAAATCCTTTGATTTTTTTTTGATATTTTCTAATTTTCTCGAGCTAATTACTAGGTTTAAAAAACATGATTAGTGTTATCGACGGATTTTTGACGGAAATTTAGCCGGTAATTTTTTTTTATCCAAAATAAGAACCGTTTATATTTTAAAAAACAAAATGTTAATTTCCGATGCATTTCTGACAGATTTTTTGCCCGTGATTTTATTTTAAAAATGTTTTTTCCTTATTTAAAAGATGAAACGTTTTTTATTTTTAAAAATTAAAATAATTACTGATGAATTTTCCGTTGAAAAAGTTCGTCAGAAAATTTATTTTCAATAGGAAGTTCAAAAAAATAAAATTTACCGGGGGGTTTTTTTCGCCATAAATCTTTCGGGAAGTTTAGTTGTTCTAGAAAAAAAATCCAGAAAACCTGCTAATTTAAAATCCTGGAACATAAAAATCTCGTAAATTAAAATAAAAACTACTAAAATACATAAGTACCTAATATGATTATTCAGACGAAATAATTACAAATGCAAATTGTCCAACAAAATTTAATAACCTTGATTGTTTTTTCTATGATGGCTTCTAATAGAACTTGAGAATGGAATGATGATTCCTTTGATCGATACAAGGAGTACATGTATAACTCAATTTCATATCTAACTAACATCAATTCTAACACATTGGTAAAATCATTTTTTAGTCAAAGTCAGTTGATTATTTCATATTGAGGCTCAACAATAAAAAAGCTTCTAAAACCTCTTTTACCCTTTTAGCCTTGAATTTCAAGTAACATCAGAATGGATAAGATCAAACAATGAAATAGATTGAACATCATTTACAACAACCAGAGTCAAATAAGTGAACTGTATTGAACATCATTCACATAGTTGGCTGATGGAGATAAGGCCCAAAGATAGATTAGGAACATGAACTGTATTAGGAAGGGATAAGTGAGATGTAGAAACATGCCCACTAAAGGTCACTGGTAGACGAGTGCCATCAGCTGTACAAACTGAAGGAAAGGTCTGTGGTGGTTGTCTAGTGACAAAAAAATCTGTATGTGGTGTCATGTGATTACAACAACCAGAGTCAAATAACTACATGTTACCTGACGAAGAGGATATCTCATTTGTACCCATAGAACCCGACATTAGTTGTGGCATTAACTCTTGATTCCTCCGTATTAATTCCATGAGATCAGGATTAGAGCCATTTTTAGTTACTAATGCGTTACAAAACTTAGATTTAGCCACGGATCAAAAGGATCTCGGAGACCCACCAAAGCACAATCGAGTTAGGGCCGTAGCTATGAGTGCTACAGACGATCTAATGAGAGGAATGGACGTAATAAAGAAGGATTTCTATACACTATACATATCATATAATACCTACAGTGGGGTGAGTCTCAGATTTGTTAAAGTCAGGAGTAATAGAACCTGTCATGGGCTTGGATCTAAACGGTTGCTTCTGTAAGCTCATGTTCTTTGGATGCTTTGGGCAATCAGAACCATAATGGCATAGGTGTTTAATCAGAACCATAATGGCATCATTAGAAGTGACAAGAAGATGCCTATGAAGTAATGAAGGACTGACATTCTCAAATTTATCAGTAAGTCCCATCAACATAGTAATCAGGTGTAATTTGACTGAAATAAGCACAAAACTGTTGAGCAGTGTCATCAAGGATCTGAGGTGCTGCTAAATTGAGTTGATCTCTAATGACTTGCATCTTAGAGACATAAGAGCTGAAGGATTGGTCTGGTAGTTGTCGTTTGCTTTGAAAGGCAGTCCACAATTGATACTGATGGGAGAGACATGTAGTGGTGTAACGAGTGGCAAGAAAATCCCGAACTTCCTTGGTTGTGTTATACCCGATAAACTGTTGAGGAATCTCGGTGGTAGTAGAGGCATTGATAAAACCCAAAATTCTTGCATTCTTGATGTCCCAATCGTCCCATCGTTTGGCGAACTCGATATCTGTTTCCTTATCTTCTTTGACAGGTTTCAAACTCAACCCCGTAACATAGCTAAACAACCCATGAGACTTAAGATAAATTGTCATATGATGAAGCCATAACACGTAATTCTGTCCGTCAAGAACCACTGAGATTGGACGTGTTTGAACAACAGTTGAATTTGACATGTGAAGACAACCAAGAAATCTGGAAGAACAAGTGCCGGTTAAGATCGAAGGGACTGTGAGGCTGGGTTTGGTATTGAAGGGAGATGATTTTGATCGGGTGCAAAGATAACAACGATTCAGATATGGATTTTGGTCTCGTTACAGATTCGATTTTGGTGATGGGTTTCAAGATCAATTAAGAGGTGTTGAGTTTTTGAAGGTACGATTAAGAGAAAAATTAGATATATAAGGGACGTATCTATAGGTCTAGCTCTGATACCATATTACGATTAGAATGAGGATTCACAAGAGAGATGAGCCAAAGCTTCATATGGATTGTGTATTCAAAACATATATACCATCTCGAAGAAATCCATATCGTTCTTTGGAAGATCTATCTCGTGTCTGGTACTGCACGGTTCCACTCTGCAAGAACTCCGAATCATTCTCTTGAAGCTCAACTCAAGTTTCGCCTTGATCGATACGACAACCTTACTAATAGAAAGGGGAAGTTTAAGGATAACTGTAGGTCGGTGGCTACCTAAGGAAACTCCGATTCGATCCGCCCCGGGCACATAGAGATGTGGGTAGAGGAAGCCTTTTTTACGCAATTCTGTTGCTTTATTGATCCTATATGTCGGCTTGAGTAACGCAAACATTGGTGAGAATCCAATGCCCCGAAAACCTAAGGGTTCGGTTCAAGGACGTAAGGTGACCCTGCTAGGGACAAATTTTAGCGTATGGTGCTGCTACAGTTGGTGGAAATTGTTGAAGAAACAAGAAGATCTAATGATCTCACCATTTTCTATATATATATGTTTTGAATACACAATCCATATGAAGCTTTGGCTCATATGGATATACATATATATATATATATATATGTATGTATGTATATAGAGGTTGGTTATTATATAACCTTTGACATTTGTACAACCAATACAACCTACTCTCAACCATCCATTTCATTTGATTAACATGTGATTTCATAGAATTTTTATTGTTTTCTAATATCGATCATAATTAATGAACCATATTCATCTTCCATAAATATTCAAATCATAATAAATGAACTCTCATTATTTCCATAAATATTTTAATATATTGGATTGCATTAGTTGTACAAATGCGATGGGTTGAATTTGAAACAATCTCTCTATATATACTTACACTAAGAATCAAGATTTACAACACTAGCCCCTATAATATGACTATTTTAGATGAAGTATTCTAACACCTGGTATTTCTTTTTCTTCTCCCTCTCTCAATGTCCATTTATTAGTGTCTTCTCTTTTCTTCTCCCAATTCTCAATGTCAATTGAAGTTGAGCTTCTCTAACTTTTTATCAGTTTTGCGTAGAGATGGCTAAAAACCGGTTCCGGGCCGGTCCCAATCGGTCCTCACCATTCTCATAATCGGCCATAACCGGTCCCGGCGTAACCGTCCCGGTCTCGGTCCCGGTCGAAAATGATAGGACCGGTATAGGTACTTTATAACCGGTTATGGGCCGCCGGTCCCGGTCCCGGTCCCAACCGGTCCCAACCGGTCCTTCATTAAAAAAATAAGATTTTTTATTTTATTTTTTAATGATATATATTTTTAATACATTATAAAATTTACAATTGGGTCACTCAAATACACTTTAAAAATGCGTTTTAATATAATTAAAATTACGTTTTCTTATAAAAATACATTATAAAATTATTTAAAAATAAATTTATTTATAAAATTAATTGAATTTTCGGGCCGGGCCGGGCCGGTCCATAGTCGGTCCCATAACCGGTCCCGGTCGGTCCCGATCCCACGAAACTACCAAAAACCTCAACCGGTCCCGGTTTTCGGTCCCATAACCGGTCCTTTGTCGGTCCTGGTCCCGGTCCTTTGTCGGTCCTGGTCCCGGTCCTCCGGCGGTCCCGGGCCGGGCCGGGCCGGGCCCATTTGGCCATCTCTAGGCCCAATGCATATATATGTGTTCAGTTTTCATTTGGGCCTAAGAATGTTACCGTTTCCATTTACCACATTCCATTGCAATTCGTTCATCATCCACCCTCACGGCTCACTCCCTCGACCTCGACTCTCGATCTCGCCTCGCTCACTCACAGAACTCACAACAGAAATCGATTTAGTTCACGATTCACGAATCGAAATCGCAATCGGCCTTGACACTTGACAGTTGACACAATCGGCTCTCGCTCTCTGCCTCTCTCGACTATCGACTGCCGTCTGCGGCTGCCTCTCTCGTCGCTCTCGACTATTGCCTGCTCACTGCCGTCGCCCGTCTGCCTCTCTCTTGTGAGTTGTTTCTTGTGAGGTTAGGGACTTAGGGTTATTACTTATTTACTTTACTTATTTTATTTTTTAAGTTTCTAATTCTTTGTTTGATTGCAAAACCTAATAATCAAGCTGTGAAATTGGTCCTTTGTTGTTTGTGATTTATGTTTCTAATTCTTGTTACTGACTTACTGTATCACTATTCACTTGTTACTGACTTACTGTGTTTGACTGTTTCACTTTGTTTGACTGTTTCATATGTTGTTCTATTCGTTTTTAGGGTGTAAAACTATTCGTTGATATTTATTTGAAATTATATCATACTTATATGAATCCGCTTTATGAGGGCTAAAATGTTACAATATGATTATAGCATCTCATTAAATTGTGCCCCACCATTGATACGTGAAGTTTGTGTCTCTAGATATGCTTACTTTTAGGAGGCCAACTCTAATTGTTAAAGGGTTGGAGAGATGTATTGCTGAACATGAATCACTTTTCAACAAGCATTTTGGTTGTGAGGGAAAYTGAATCCCATAACTACATGAATTATATGAAAAGTGTTGAACATCTGTCATAGTTTTCGATCTTGGCAAGGGTTAAGATACTGAGCTTAACAGAAGAGGTTTTTACATCAGAAAATTACTTGACATATGAGTTTGAATTACCATCATGAATTTGTAGAAGCCCCATTTGACTGTTTTTGGAGATAGGGGTGCGATCAAATGTTAAAATTGGATGAGTGATATGATTTTATTGTGTTTCTATTGTTCTTATGTAGAATGTCTTTCGTTCTTTATGGGTTTGTTGTTATACACTTAATTTGATGCATACCCGAATCAGTTGATGTCTATTTTACTATGCATTGTTCGATCCTTTGTCTATCTCAATAGTCTCATGGTAAGGTTTTAGTTATATCTTTTGTTGTGTTTTACTTGAAGAATATATAGGATGGTACCGATTTATGTGTTCTTATTCTTTTGGATGGTTTGTAGGGAGATAAAACCAATTATGAAGGATGCATAAGTCATGGACCATGGGTGGATTTAATGGACGTGTTAGCACACACCTTGATGCTATTGGGATATATGTGATGCCTGAATCACTTGCACTTGGTCAAAACTCTACAACTAAAGACAATTCCATGCATGAGGTTCATTTCTTAAAGTCTCTTTCTCATATTCTTGTTCTTAACTATTTATGTTTCAAGCCTTATCTAAAAACCTATAAATAGTTAAAACTATGTTGTTATCAATAATTGGCATCTTGGTAACCATATATCTGCATAGATTTCATTTGTGAATAATGAATACCGATTATCCATGTTGTTTTATAGTTAAAAATATCCTCATATATACATGTGATTGAATTTTTTTTCACTATAAGGGGCATTTTTTTGACTTTCCGCCGTGGGCATCCAAAATATCAGGGCCGGCTTATATTGGAAAACTAGAAGAATGTTTTCTTTAATCTGATACATAGAAGGTTTGAATTTATGTTGTCTTGATTAAATTTGATACATAAAGGTTTGAATTTCTATAATCAAAAAGCATGCAATACATGTTATTTGTTCTGGGTTTAGGTTTTCAGTTTTGCCTACATTTGATGCTCTTGATTTTTTGGCAGAGGCTTCAATTCTTCTTCTTTTTATGGTGTGCTTTTGTGGACTGTGGTTACAGTTTCAGGTCTCATAAACAAAATGGTTCCTACTTGCAACAAATAACGTGAAGAGACCATTGTAGCAGATGAGATAAAGGGTGGAAATGAGGTTGATGAGAGAGAGAGATGGATCAGTTGGTTTCTGATTTCAAGAACTTTCTTTGTCATGATGGATCTATTTATGATGCTTGGTTCAGTTGTGCATCAATCAGGTAATTTACATAAACAGCTCTCAATTCCACCATTAGAGTCTTCTCATCTATGGTTTCCTTCTTGAACACCTGTTTGTATAAAAATGGCAATTTGGGCATCTTTCCTGCTCTAATCTTTTTGGGGGCTTTTACATGAAAGATTGAGTCTTTTTTGGTTTGTTTTTTAGGTGGCACAGGTTCTGTTGACGTTGCCATACTCTCTCTCAATTGGCGATGGCTTCAGGAATCATACTACAAGTATTGTATGATTTGCTTGGGAGTTGGACTGCTTATCTCATCAGTTCTGTATGTAGAGTACAAAATCAGAAAGAAAGAGAATGTCAGCTTCAAGAATCATGTTATACAGGTTAGAATATCCTTCCAATAAAAATTAGAAGTTTCACCCATTATTTAATTAAAGATTTATGGATTATTATCTCTTTGTACACCTGCATATATTCTTAACTCAAGTTTTTTTTTTCCTTTGATATTTATACAGTAAAAATCTCCATTTACCTGGTCTTGATTGATTAATGAATGATTGGATTAGCCTGCGAGTTTGGTTTCGAGATATGTCAAATGCTTCGATAAATTTTGTTTTGTTCCATATCTGTTAAGAATCAATTATTCACACCTCCCAAATTCTCGATCTGTTCCCCACTTCATGAGTCATGGTAGGCTTCATTTCTTCTGTTGAGATTTTTAAGGGTTTTTTTTTAAATTTCTGTCTAGCTTTCACGTTTCTTTATAGGTTTTATGTTTTTTCTTTGCAGCAATGGGGTTTGTTTTTCTTTTTGGGCAGAGTAGAGGGCAGAAACAGAAGTCCCTTGGTTTTTACAACAACCATGTATAACATAGAGATTTATTTGGTCTGTCTAGCGAAGGGCTTTTTGGGTTTTACGGCAACTCACAACCAAATATTGGAACCAGGTGAGTGTTTTCTTTCAATTTATTCTCATCCGAGATTTTTATTCATCGAAGATTTGATTAGTTGGGTCATGACTCTGGTTTTTATCTGTAACAGTAACATAGAGAGTAAAACTATAGAGTAGAGGGCAGAAACATCGGGCCTCTTGGGTTTTACAACAACCACATATAGGAACAGGTAAGAATGATCTACAACTTGAGCATAAATTTCATTAGTATTTACTCTTTGTGTTTTTGTTTCCAAAGTTAAATTTATCATCTCTAATAGTGATTTCAGTTTACATTAGGTTTGATTGTGTAAGGATTGGATAACATAAGAATGCATAGACATCTTACTTTCATTTTTAAAGCTCCAACTGTAGATTAGTTAAGGTAGTCTGTATAACTATGCAGAAGTAGAACCATATTCAATTTGAGGCACTATTCGTTAAAAATTGTTAAAACATATCGTCAATGACAACAAACTACATTTAGATAGCATATTAGTCGCTTTGGAAATAGATGCCATCACTAACCCTTCCTTGTGCAATGCATATAAATCCAAATTTTCCCTATGAACCACCCCCTGGTCCTGAGAGTTATGCATCCTTTCAAACTGGTTTTTGCTCAAAAGCATAATAACTCTATACAACACATAAATGGGTACTACTTTTTCTTCAAATAAGAACACAATAAAGGATAATAGGGAAAATTAATTGAAACCCAACCATCAGGCTATTAAAATATCCCCCTTATTTATTACCATATTTAACCCACGAATTCGGTTTCTATTTCTACACATAATGTAATTAAAAGCCATAATTATATCATTAAGTATTATTTCCATTTAAGTACTAAAACTTCTTACATTTAAAGGTGCATTCTAGCATATAGAGAAACCATATCTTTAAAAAAACCCAACTTCTTTGCATATCTTATTTCAAAAAATGAAGTCTATTTTCTGCATTGTTGGCATCATTTTTAGTCTTGTTTCAGTGGTTTGTGCAGTTCCAGGCACAGCCACCTTCTACCAGCAATATACTCGTAAGTCCTCACTCTTTTCCTTCTGATATGTATATGTATATGCATATAAATGTGAGTCCAAAAGAAGACATGATAAAAGAGAACTAAGGAACTCATCTGAACTACATATCTAATCCAATCGGACTGTTGTATATATAGGGACAGTGTATCTGAAAGAGTGAAAAAGTGTTTTCGTTGTTGTGGAATAAGAAGCCTTTGTATCTTAATGCACGTATCTATTTGAAACCTCAGGATCGACCCTGTGTATAGTGATGGGTATCTCTAAGACTTCGCAAAAATTTCTTTTAAAAATGGGTTCTTTTCTTGGTTTGGATGAGCTCCTTGTAGAATCAAAACCAAACCAAAACCTTTTTATTTTTAAACTCAAGAGCTATGTGTTTTTAGATTTTATATTGTTCAAGTTAAAGAAAATCAATTCTACATCCGCTTCATAGTCTAACTTCTGATGTCTCACATTTTTGTTTTCTGATCTGATTAATTAACACTTGATGAAACAAACTCAATCTGTTATTGTAATTTATATGTCGTTTCTAACATCGTTCTTCTATAAAACTTTGGCAACAGCCTCTGCATGTTATGGGAACACGCCTCAGGGTGTCATGATAGCCGCAGCAAGTGATCCTCTGTGGAACAATGGAGCTGTTTGTGGCAAGACGTTCTCCGTTAAGTGCATTGGTGCAACAAACCCTTTTCCTCACCCTTGCATCGACCGTAAAACGATCACTGTTAAAATTGTCGATCACTGTCCAGGATGTGGTGGAAATCTTGACCTCTCGAAAGAAGCTTTTGCACTAATCGCGAATCCTGTTGCTGGAATTATCAAGATCGATTATCAGGAATTGTAGATTGTTCATGAATTTGGTTTTTGGTTAGTAGAAACCTATTTTTTTTTAAAATACAAGAAGGGTATTTTATAACTTTGTAAGAATAAGCAACTTTGAATAAAAAGGCCTTTTAAGGGCTATTCTAGTATATTACTGATTGGATTAAGAGGGGTGATTAACTTAGTCGGACATATATATATTTATGGTTGAAGAAGGCATTATTTGTCCAATCTCGATCCTAGTTTCTCTTTCACAATTGCTTTTTCCTTTGAACGATGAGTAATGGAATTTATTAAACCAAAACCTAGCAAGACGCTAAATTACCTAACGTCGAAAAACATAAACGAGGATTACAACACCCACCTAATATCTTTCCCCAACTTGACTCTATTTTTAACCCACAGAAAAGAGTAGAATTGGACCTTGTTAACAACTTCTCGTGACGCCTGAATCTTGCCGTTGAAGATTTTAGTGTTCCCACTCCTCCAATTCACCCAACAGGCTGCAATATAAATCACAAACAATAGCTGTTTTGAACATTTCTCGTCGACCGTGTTTAGAATCATCTCCTTAACCTTCTCAAACGAGCTGGGAGATGCAGGAATCTCGGACCCCCAATGTTGCAGAAGAGCCCACAACTCTTTCTTAGTTTAATTAGTATAAATCCCCATATGAATCGTGTCACTAACACATAACATGCGATTGGGATTGGTCGGTGCTCGTCTATTGACTCCATGTGATGAACTCGTCTGCTGCAACCACTACAAAAATGCAAGAGTATCAGCGAAGAAAATTTCCCTCGCAAATCCATCGCTAAAAGGGTCATCCGTCGCTGATACTCTGTCGGTCAAATGCTCGTAGGTAATGTCTTCGGCGACGGATCAGCGAGGGATATCAACTACGGATTTGCAAGGGATATTTTCAGCGAGGGAATATCTTCAGCGACGAATCAGCGAGGGAATATATCAGCGACAGATCAGCGAGGGAAATTTCAGCGAAGGATCTTTTAACGAGGGATCAGCGACGGATTAGTGAGGGAATTTTCAAGGACTTTCAACGACGAATTTTCAAGGACTTTCAACGACGAATTTTCAAGGACTTTCAGCGACGGATTAGTGAGGGAATTTTCAAGGACTTTCAACGACGAATTTTCAAGGACTTTCAACGACGAATTTTCAAGGACTTTCAGCGACGGATTAGCTAATTTGTATTAATCTAAAAAATAATTTTTTTGAAATTACATAATTCCTGTATTTATTTATATACAAAACCTGGAAATAATAACAAACCAAAACTCTGAACAAATTAAAACTAACCAATTCATATGATTTAAAATATCTAATTCATACAATTTAAAATATTCAATTCATACAATTTAATCTTCAAATACATAAATCTAACTACCGGGAGGTGGGGGTGGGGGAAAACGTATTATATCTACCGCATAAACGCAGAAAAATGCTCCGATAAGGCGGCCTGTTCGACTAATGCAGCAGTTTTTCTGGCCTATTCGGCCTCCAAATCTTCCCTCTTCTTTCGTTCGTCCTCCATCTCGGCCAGATGGCGTTCCTCCCACAGCTGTTTCTCCTCCTCTACCCTTGCTTACTTCTCTCTCGACTCTGTTACCTGTAAATATTCAATATTCAAGAAAATTTAGTAATGAGAAATTTTATAACAATATAACCAACATACCTCCGCTCTTGACTCATATGATGACCTACTACTGCTACATCTACCCGTCATAGTATAAGAGGGATCCTGGGTGGTCCCGAAACTAAAGATGCGGCCTTTCCTCCGTCCTTTCGGATGAGTTTAAAACTTTAAGTGTAACGGTTTGACTACTTGAAAGTCAAACCGTACATGAATGAAATTGGCGGTCTTTGAACGAGTTGAGAAACCTACATATAAAATTTTGACTAGTAGAAAGTCAAACCGTAGGTTTAGAGGAGTTTCGGATGAGTTTAAAACTCTAAGTGTAATGGTTTGACAACTTGAAGTCAAACCGTAGGTGTGAATGAAATTGCCGGTCTTTGAACGAGTTGAAAAGCCTACATGTAATGTTTTGACTACTAGAAAGTCAAACCGTAAGTTGAAAAGAGTTTTGCAAGACTTCAAAACTCTAAGTGTAAAGGTTTGAACGAGTAGAGAAGTCTATGTTTTTAAAAATTTCGGCGGCATAACGGCTATAAAATGAATATTTCCAAATGAATCAAGCTTAATGTTTGCCCAACGATTGACAACCCAACTACGAATATATATAATCAAGCCTAATGTTTGCCTAACAATTGACAATCCAACTACAAATATATATATATATATATATATATATATATATATAATCAAGTCTAATGTTTGCCCAACAATTGGCAACCCAACTAATTACCAATAAACATAACCAACGAATATGTAAAATTTAATTAATAAACAAACATAGATATAAAGACAAGTAATACACATAATCATTTCAAGACCATTTGGTCTTAAATCCCAAATCCCAAATTTAATTTGATTCAAGTTAACAAAATTATTTCTACAAGAGAATCTATCCTTTTTCAGCCAACATTTTGTGTGTCCTCGTGACACTTTGTTGTTGTTTAATTTTTTTTATCAATATATTATGTCTTTGTATCAACATGTGAGTGAAATAGTTAGTTTTAATAAAATCAATATAAACTATGCCCTCAATTCTCCCCACAAACGACACCATTGTTAAACCCGTATACCCAAAATGACAACAAGGACGCCCCCTTTGTCCTTAGTCATGCCCCACAAATACTTCAGTTTTATAAAACACATAATGTATTCATATCAAAATCATAAAATTTCATCAAAAACATGATATTTGGGGAAAAAGATGGGTAAATTGAAGTGGGTTTTTCTTAAATCAATTGGGTTTTTGGCCACATTTTTTACAGAGTTAGAGAGAGAGAGAGATTAAGAGGAGGAGGGTTTATAAGGAAATAAGACATACCTTTCAACGGGGATGACGGTGAGGGTCGGCGACAGGGACGACGGTGAGGGTCGGCGATGGGGACGACGGTGAGGGTCGCAACGGGGAAGACGGTGGTGGTCGTCGACGGGGTTAAATGCATAAAATAACAACATACTTTCATAAATTTACTTATTATGACATTCTACTTTTGTTTTTATTTATTACATCAATGTTTTTTCAAATTATTTTTTATTAAGATATTGCACTTTAAAAAATCTATCCATTATAACAATGGATAACTTGTTATCTTTTAAATCGGTTAACCCTTGACTTTTTTTGCATGTGTGGCTTTTATGAGGTGATTTGGATGACACATCATTTTGATGATTTAAATAAAATAAAAATAAAAACCTACTTCAAATTATTATTATTGATTTTCATATTTCATTGCTATGATTTAAAAAAACGTTTAATTTTTTTTATTTTTTCTTATTAAGTTGCATGCAAATTAAATATTCTAAAATAAAATATTTCTTAAATAAATAAGATACATTATTTTCGAGATGTATTTTGTTTGTAAAAAAGGTAACACTTCTTATTTTATGTTATTAAAAAAAAAATACATATTTTTTAAAGTTCTCTCTAAAATGTTAACGAAATAAATTGTGATCTACAATTTTTTAATATTGTTATATTAATAAATAATTTAAAAAATCTAATTGATTTAATATATTTATACGTCAACTAAAAGTTTTTGAACAAATATAATATATTATTTAAAAGATAATATTTTTTTGTGTAAAAAAGAAACAATTTTTATTTTCTTTTTTCAAAAAACACATATTTGTTTATTAAATATTAGCGAGATAAGTTGTCTTCTGCTAGTTTTATTAATATTGGTATATTAATGAATGATTTAAAATTTTCTTAATTCATTTAATATATTTATTAAATAATATGTAAAATATCTAAATATTAAAATTAAAAGTACATTATTTAATAAGAACTAATAGATGTTATAATAAATTTTTTTGAAAGTACAATGCAGTAAAAAGGTCACATCACTATAGTACATGTGGACAACCTACGTGGACAATGAGGTGACATGAAAACCTGGTATAATGGGTAAATTTAAATCAAAATGTTACCCAATGCTATAATAGATACATTTTTCAAAGTACAATGTCCTAATAAAAAATAGTTTGAAAGTACATTGTTCTAATAAGAAAAACCAAAACTATAATGCTATAATAAAAAAATTATGAAAATAGATTGCTATTTTGTGCATTTTACCCTTTTATAAAATATAATCGTAAAAAATAATAAAACATATTAATAGTAAAACATTTATATTAAGAAGAAATGATTTACCTCCTTCGATATGAAACGTTTCTATTATTACGTTTCCAAAACTAACAGTATTTATTACCTTCCAATATTAATCAATATACAATGAAATGACTATTACACCCTTACTGATTAAAATTAAAGAAAAAAAAACAGAATTTTCCTATTGGTCGAAAGTGGTTTGCATGGTTTTCATGAATTGAGTGGTTTGCAACGTAACCCGCCTATATATATATATATATATATATATATATATATAGGGGAGCGATCAAATGCAAACCATTCAATTTGTACAAACCGTGCAAACCGCATTCAACCAATCATAAWTTTTCATTTTGTTCAATTTTTTGTAATTATGAGAGGTTGATTAATCATTTTTATTGTGGAGGGTGTTAATCATAGATATTATCATCTTCATTATTTTAATTTTAGAGAAATACATGAAACAGTTTCATTAATGTTAGAGAAATACATGAAACAGTTTCATTAATGTTAGAGAAATACATGAAACAGGTTCATTAAGTATTAGAGGGTGTTAATCATAAATATTATCATTTTCATTATTTTAATTTTAGAGAAATACATGAAACAGTTTCATTAATGTTAGAGAAATACATGAAACAGTTTCATTAASTATTATATGAAACAATTTCACAACCATATATGAAACAACTTCATCAAAAAAGTATTATATGAAACAATTTCACAAGATTAAACAATKWMATSRAMARATGAAGGTGGTTTGCACGGTTTACACAAATGAGGGCGGTTTTCATATGATCACTCCTCTATATATAGGATATATATATATACAAATAACACAT